GGAAGTAAGAGAATGGAACATGCGAAGCTTGCTTGAAATTGTCAAACTATGTTGTAACAGCTGCAGAAAGGCATCCGAGCGTGAATTTATGCACTGATCTTCTGCTCCTGTATGTTGCTCGACCACCAAGCACTGTTTGCTTCCGTTTTGTAAATGGTTGGACTGTCACACTTGTTCTTCTTCATGTTAGCCTTCTGTCGAACAGTTTCTTTGTTGTTTAGCTGTAGCTGTGATGAACATTTAGTGGCCACTATGGAGCTAGAGAGTTAGCTATTTTTTATGGAACAAAATAGGTAGAGTGAGCAGAGCAAAATGGTAAAATTCCATGATTTGGACTATAATTTACCGAAAGTTCTGGTGTCTCTATAACTGATATGTGCTTACAAATTGTACTGCCACTGTCTGAGATATTTTAAATACCTGTGGCTTTACTTTTTGAGAAGTTTTTGCTTAAAACTTGCTTGTCCTTTCGCCTGTAACCCATTTAAGCTTTGGAAGAAGGGTTTTTGTAATGCAGTACGTCATATTGATTTTGTTTACCTTAATATTTGGATCACTGAAACCTAGTAGATAATAGTGGTGAGCAAATAAGCTGGTGTCATAAGTAATAGAAGCCGTAATGTGAACAAAAAAAGGAAGCATTACAAAATAACAGCACAATAATTAGCCTTACATGCAGTTAATACTACATGAAGTTTGCTGTTGAGGACAGTAGATATGTCACAAGAAGCTGGTTCATTAATACGTACAGACAAAACAAGAGTGTTCATGAAGAAATTAACGACTCTTGTAACAAACTTAGCAAAATGTAGCAAAGCAAATGACTTGTAAGGTGCATCTATCTTATATGAAGACAAAAAGTGAATAGCTCTGGATTAGTTTAGTTTTGATTTCTTGGCAGAGCTGCTGGCTTCATCGGGGGAGTTGTCGTCATTCAGCTTCTCTATTTCATCAAACTTTTCAGAAAGTCGTTTGCGAATTGTTGGAGCAGGAGCATTTTCTTCTGCAACAAATAAATTTTTCATTTTATATAATTTATTTCAAGGAAAGCATGTTTGCAGATTAGAAGTTCAAAGTATGTGTTTATTTACCTGGGTCAATCAGTTGCAACGTTGGAGGCTGGTCATTAAGCAACGGCAAATGATTGTTTGGTTCCTTTGTTACCTCAATTGAACTGGTATCATCATCAGCTTCATAGTAATATATCACTGTATAACGTTGCCTAGCGTCTGCTAGCTGTGCTTGCACAAGCTTTATATGAATCAGGAAAATCTTTGATTTGAGTTGTTCATGAACAAGCTCAAGAGGGAGTTCAACATTCTGATAATGAGGAGCAAAAAAAACATTAGCAGCTTTATAACAGGCCTGTCAACAAGTGTTATGGGACAAAATAAAACCTCATTGAAATGCTGCATTGCTTCAAGAGAGCTGAACGTTAAAAGTTTCTCTGCCAGTTCACCAAATATGGAAGCTGGTATAGCTCCGCTGCTATCAATCAAATCAACATCAAAGCGACATCTGGAAATATAATCAATATAGAGGGAATCAGTAATTGGTAAAATTATCATTATGTAAAATCCAGAAAGAATCACACAACAATGACTTATGAATGATCACCTTGGTACTGCTGGTTGCTTCTCCTTGCACGAGTTGCAGGTAAATTCAACTTGATAATCTGCTGCTGTGGCTCGATAGCAATTCTTACAACTCATATACCAGTATTTTTGGAATATGTGCTCAAAGTAGAAACGTGCTCTCACCCAAGTCGTCTGCAATATAGGTAAGCACAAGGGAAAAAATGTAAAGAGGACGACAGTGAAGTGTAAAGAGAAATGGGGAAAATTGTTTTAACACCTTCTGTGATGGGCTAACGTTACAAATCAAGGTAGCTTTTTGATCAGTTCTGAGAGAAATTGTAGGATTATACTTCATGTAATCTCTTTTAGCAAGAACATCTGCAATTATTTGAGAATTTCTGAGTGCACAAGGAAAAAATGCAAAAAAGATGTAAGAAGCGAAAAATCATCCGTAGTTGCTATTCTGTGAGATAGAAACAGGGCATTGGAATGCAATATACCAGTTCTTTAGCTCTCTTGCTTCCTGTATAGGCGGATCAACAAGTATGACAGAATCAAACCAAGTACCTAATGCAACTCCTATAGAAAGAATAAACATTAATGCCATGCAGCCTGATTCTCTGAAAGGCATATATAAGAGCGTGCACAACAAAAAAAAATAAAAATATTAAAGGAAAAAGTACCATTGTAATTATTCACTTTAATTCTCCGTGCAATAATGACAGGATAGTTGTGAAGGTTAGACAGTAGTTGTTGTCCTTCATTAGCGAGAAAGTCATCCCATAAAGATAGCAATACTGTCTGTGATCTGTAATCATTATTAATTTAAGTAATAAATAGGAAATAACTTAATTTAGATTGAGGATTAAGATAAGAAATAAGATACTCACTCTTCATCAAGAAAAACAAACTTTTGAACACTTGATTCTCTTGAGTTTCTGTTTAACGTTCTCTTGTCCAGTGCAGCGATCACAACTCCTATCACATCTGTAAAAACAGAACTAGCATAATGGAAGAGGAGGTAATAATATTTTAAGCACAACAATATCAATACGCTGAGAGATGTACCAACTGATTTATTCTTGTCATCCATGTGATGCACTAAATCAGTAAACTTTGTATAGTTGAATTTCACAGGCATGATTTCATTATCAGCATCATTTATTTCTTCAATGACAGTTTTGGTACTGATCACCCATTGGATAGTAAGCTCAGCTATCTGGAATTTTGCTGGGATAGGCTTCACTTCAGCATTTGTGATCTCGTACTTTTTATAAACATGTAAGAGTGGACTCATTTTAGGAATATCAGCATTGAAGATTATTGCTTCAACTTTTGATCCCTGGGGTACACAATTGGTAGCTTTACAGTTAGTTAAAAATAGAAAGATCTTATTAAACAAGTGCATAGAAAAAAGTAGGTGCAAAGGTTTGCTAACCTCTACATCATAAAAGATAAATTTTTGTTTTTTTGTCGGTGTTCCCTTCGAGTCAGTAATCTGTTGCTTTTCCTGAACAGTGACTAGGCAACTCCAATTCTTCATGAAAGGGACAATGTCTCAGATAGGTAGCAAGTTAGTCATTCTGCATCAAGATAAAAAGATAGATAAATGAATGCAAATAAATAAGTCCAGCGTAACAGTATATTGGAGCAAAGAAAGAAAAATTTGTATATGCACCTCATTCCAATGTATAGTTAAAGTAGACAGGTTCTTTACTGCTGAGTTAAATCAAAAATCTCATTAAAGACAATATTCCTAGTTTTGCAGTTAGTCTTTCTCTCATCAAATGTTCCAGGAACGAGAAGGACCTTAAGCTCAGCAGCAGTTCTAGCTCTAGAGAGTGCGACATACAGCTGTCCGTGCGAGAAAACGGGTTCATGCAAGTAAAGGCCGACATAATCCAGAGTTTGTCCTTGCGACTTATTAATGGTTAATGCAAAACAAAGTCGGACAGGAAATTGAGTTCTTATGAATGGAATTCCATTCCTTTCATTGTTAGATGTCTGAAGAGGTATCTTTGGAATGAAGACTCTTTTTCCTGCATGACTGCCAAACACAATCTCTGCAGAAATAATATTCAAACTCAGCTCTCTACATATTAATCTTGTGCCATTACACAATCCTTCATTAGGATTTAAATTCCTTAATAGCATAATAGGACAGTTTTCTTTTAGCGGCAACTTATGAGGAGGAAGTCCTTTTGGATTTTGTGAATTCAGAAAATCTTCATAGTCTCCTTGGTGTCGCTGCTCAACAGTCCGATCTGAACTTATATAAACTTGAAGATTTCCAAGAAATCTGTTTATCAATAGCTCGTTGAGCTCATCAACTGAGCTATTTTTGGGAGCAAGGATGCATCTATTTATTATGGTATAAGGATCTTTAGAATACAGGTGTAAATCTGGAAAAACACTTTCAAGTAACCTGTTTGAAATTATAAGTAGCCATAATCAGTGAAAGGCAGAGATAAAAAGAAGGATCAGATAGATAAAGTATAACCGTATGCAAGCTGTCAACCTGTTTAAAGATTGTTCCTTATCATAATAAGGAATAACTATATCAGGCGGTAAAGTGATTTCGCCATTTGCATCTACAAGCTCTTTTCCCTCGCCTATTCTTAGTAAGAACTGAGAGAAAGCAGGATCTAACATGGCTCTCATATTCTGTGTGAGTCTCAGCTTATGTAATTTAGACCAGAGAATAGAATTAGGAAAGCTTGATTCTATGAGCACTTGCTTTGTTGCTTGCTCAATAACTGGCAAGGTTTGGCGAAAATCTCCACCAAAAACGACAACCTTCCCTCCAAAAGGCAAATCAGAATCCATTATGTCTCTAAGCAAGTCGTCAAATGCTTCAATCGTCTCACGTTTAGCCATTGATGCTTCATCCCAAAGGATAAGCTTACACTCAAAAAATAATTTGGCAACACTACTTTGTTTGCTGAGTTGACAGGTCTTATTCTTTGAAAAGTCCAGCGGTATCTTAAATCTTGAGTGTGCCGTTCTTCCTCCAGGAAGAATAGACGCTGCAATGCCAGAAGTGGCAACAGCAATGGCAATGTAACCCTGCGATCTTAATGCATCAAGTAGTGATCGGTATAAGAATGTTTTACCAGTTCCTCCTGGGCCATCAATAAAATAAGCCTGGCCCTCACCAGAAAAACATGCTGCAAGAATTAGGTCATAAGCATGTTTCTGTTCATAATTTAACCTGAGAGACATTAGCAAATCTTCTGGAGTAACATTTAAACCTCTTTCATTTTCAATTTCCTTTTTTAATCGTTCATGAGAAGAAGAATCAAAACCATGCGAAACTAATTGGTAATCAGTAATTCGCTTTCCCATTTGTTCCAATGACCTGTTAATGTCCTGTAGAACTCTTGTCGTGATCTCTGAAGCTCTAAGGACAGAAAATGAGCATTGTCACTGGTAATCTGCAGATAGTTCATGGTGGAATTTTTCCCACAGCAGCTGAGGATTTACAGGAGAACAATGAACAAGCAGAGTAGCAAATAGTAATCTTAAGGAAGACGGCATCTGAAAGGTCACAGCTTCTTGAAGCGTATCCTCTATGTAAGTATCGGATTGCAAAAGTCCTAATGCTAAAGCAGCTTCTCTAAAGGAATTCAGCTTTTGATTAGCAACCGTCAAAATATCATCAAAGGAAGTCGGTCCATGAACATGATTCAGAAGCAGTCTAAGGTAGTATCTTTCTCCATCCGCTGGACTAACAGTAACCATTCTACCTATCACTTTTCGACGCTTCCTTTCAGTCCATTTCTTATATTTAGGAGACCAAACAAAATATTGAGGGAATTCCCTATAAAGACATTTAAGATTCTGTGCAACCACATTTGTTCTGTTCATATAAAAAAATTTAGTTAACATGGTCTTTGAAAAATCAACTTTGTTCAATAATTGCAGCAGGTCTGAATTTTTGTCAAACGAAACAAACTGCTGCTCCGGGAGATGGATCTGAAGAGTATAGACTGCTGGACTTATTTCGCTCAAGCGAAATTCAAAGATACACCAAAACGCCTCAAGGGGCGAAATCCATCTACCTTGCTGAAATTCTCTGATCTCATCAGTGTCATCAGGAGTATGGTACGAAACTATCCTAAAACTGACTGAATCATGTCCCTTGAAAACATTCTTATACATATACTTCACCAATTTAACAGTCGAGCAAATCTCTACATTAATGTGACAGTCAAATGTAGCTAACAGATAGGGACTATAAGAGACAACCCATCTATTATCAAGAGTATGCCTTCAGACCTTTATTTTTGTACCATCATCTCTTCTTCTATATTGCGGATAACTATCTTCAGCATGAGTCGTCTGGGCACAAAAGCTCTTAGGATAGTGATATTTACAATAACCATCTTTCATACAAGGACAAGTTCTATCCAGATCGCCGTAAGGACCATGAATCATGTGCTTTACCACAAGGGAATATAGATGAGGATGCTTAGAACGATCAGGTATTTCAGCACAAACTACTCTATCATATGACTCCAGATTTAGGAGTTTGTATTCAGGCTTCAAAATTAGTAGCAGATGAGCATGTGGGAAGCCGCGTTTTTGGAACTCTATCACATAGACATACGCTGCAACCTCACCAAAAATTTGCTTGTTCAAAATTTCTGATTTAAGCAATTCAAATTTGGCCCTAAAGACTCTAGCCAGAAGATCCGGTCTATCCTGAGGCTTTTCGTGGTCCTTTAAATTATCCTGAATTTCCTTCCATGCTGGGTTGCAAGTCATAGTAAGAAAGATGTCTGGTTTTCCATACTTTTGCACAAGAGACATTGCATCAAGATATCGCCGTCTCATGTCCCTTGGTCCACCTATAAAGGAAGCTGGTAATATCGTTCGACGGCCAACTTTAGAAGCACCGGTCTGGCCTATACAAATACTTTCTAGGACTCCTTGGAGGACCTCAGAACGAATGTTGTTTTGCCGATTTCTATGAAAATCAAGCCTAGATGTCTCAATCTTAACATAACCATCTACTGCATACTGTTGCAACAATCCAAGTGAGTGCAACAACATTGAATCATCACTGTCCCTCATCTGAAATTTGTAACAATAGTATTCTCTAGCCGACACCGTGTCTTCCTCATTTTTTGCATGATCAGCAGCTAGAGAAAAAGCACGAGCAATCATTTATTTTGATGAATTTTTATAATGTAAAAATAGTGGTTAAATTCAATTGTTTAGAAGTAGCAAGAATTAACTTGCCTCTTTGTTCACGTTCCATTAAGGTTGATGCAGAATTAACCGAAGATGGATGAATATCGATATCTTCCTCACAAGAATCATCTTTTCTCTTTCTTTTTTGGGCTCTTTTAATCCCAGGGTGCCATCCGCATTCACCACGTGGGAAAAGAATAGGGTATTGTAATGGATCATAGCAGCCATAGTAATGTTTAATTTTGTAGCTGCTATTTGAATGCGTATAAACTTGAATATGAGCTCCCGTATGACCCGATTCATCTTGATTTTCAGTCCATATCGCCACAACTTGGGAGGCAGAAGGCAGGTTATAAACTCGCTGATCAAGGGTGGGATAACAATTAACAATGCTAAGGTTGTTAATGTTTGGAACATGCCTTAAATTTCTGAAGAATTTAGCATAAGGATTGTCGCTAAGAATGCGCATAAGGAGTCTTAAAGTGCTTCCTCGCAACTTATCAGAGGCAACAATCCTCTTTGCTAATTCTTCATTAGTGTCAAAAAAGTAGAGCTGAATCCTAGATGCTCTATTATCCGACTGAAGAAGGCCATTAAGAAAATGATAAACATGACCTTGAACGCGAAAGGTGTTACACCTTACGTGTTCTTCGTTAATTCAGGATCATATTTAGCAGCAAACGATGTGAAGCCTAAGTTATTGTTGTAAGTGCGAGCATTATTTCTAAAATGAAGGCTTTCCTCATCATTACCAATAAATAAGCGCTTCAAATCATAAGGCATAGGAGGAGCAACAAGAGAAATTTCTCCTCCAGAGCAGCAAAAAGTAGGAGGTTCCAAATGGAATCTTTTGGCTCCACAATGGTCACAAGGAGAAGCATCAGGTAGAACCAAAGATCCATTAGGAATGTTGTTCACGATTGAGAGATTTAGCTGACCGCGCCTGCGTTTTCTCCCTGTAAGTTTTTGTATGTGGTTGACAGACAGGTCGAGTTAAAGCTTTGTACAACGAGGAAAGAACGGAGCCTAAAGATGGCGACAGCTAAACGACAAACAATACTGAACCTGCATTTTCTGTTCTCATGGCGGAAGCACTACCACGCTTCTTGCTATACCGAGAAAGCCTAAGCAATGAATGAAGGGAATCATTCCTTTTTTTTTCCTTGCTTAGCGAGGACAATTTACTGTAGGCTGATTAAACTCTCTCTGTGGGAAAGAAGAGGTTTCTGTGGATAATAAAAGCGAACAAGATGAGCAGTACAACTGAGCAGGGTTGTGTATGCGAAGAGTTAATGCACAATAAAAAATGTTGAGGAGGTAAAGGAGCAAGCAATTAGCCTGCAAGTTATAGCTTAAAGAGAACTCAATAGGGAGTGTTTAAGAGAGGGATTGCACCAAAGGAAAGCCAAACCTCTGGAAACATTTGGTAATGCATGATTTTATTTTCACCAACAGGTTAATATTTTGAAAATGAAATATTCTATTGTGAAAAATACAGGAAGGAAAAGGCGCAGATGGTAATTAAGAAAGGTTATAACTCGTCATAGTCTAATTCTGAACAGGAAAGGCCTACAAGGTTCTAAGTGTTTAGAGAAGGGCTAGGAAGAAGACATTTACTGAACAAAAGTATAGGAACGCGCAAGCAAAAGAGAGCTAATCTACAGGAACACAGAGCACTTAGCAATCAATAGGAAGACAGAGAAAAGAAGCAGGAATGATGTGAAGGAGGAAAGTCCAAGCCAAGCAGAACAATAAACTAATAAAAAAAGGAATACCTTTATTAAGGGATAGAGCATCACTGGACGTTGTTTTTTTCCTAGAAGATGATGAAGCATGATCATCAAAGAAATTAGGCACAGCAGAAGAAATGCAGGGCAGCTGTGGACTATCTGTAATAACACTATCAATTGGAACCAAGTATTCTCCATTTTCCAGTGCATTAGAAAGCACACGAGCCTGATCATGACTGTTAGAAGGTTTATCATGACTATATGAGACACAAACAGAAGATTCCACGGAAATCTTCTGAACGCGAGAGAGGAAAAGGCTATGTTTTTTCTTCGCAGCTCTAGCTTCTCGCAGAAAGTGCAGAAATTCTGCTTTCTTGGTAGGCGGCATTTCTGCGTATTTTTTTCGGCGCAAGGCATTTTTATCCATCTAATTCCAGGTACTAAAAAAGGAAGCAGCAACTCGAGGGCATTAAGTAAGCATGACAAGATGGAATTTAACAGCAAGGAACAAGTCAATAAAAGTTGTTTAACGCAACAACACACAGCTGATTATTAACGAGTAAATAAAGACTGCATGGCTAACCAAGGAAGCCACAAAGCGAGAAACTTGCAACAGGGGGAAAAGGGAAAAAGAATGCATGGTTAATTAAGATAAGAAAACACACCAGCGCATACTAAAAGTAAACAAGGTAACAACGCAGGAACATGCTAAGGAAAAGTCAAGGGAGAAAAACGAGAAGGGAAGTAACACCACCTTAGCCAAACACAGAAGGAGGAACACCTCAGCCAAATAAAACAGCAACAACAAGGCGGACAGAATTTCTTGCTATAAAAAAAAAGGATAAACAAGTGAAAAGCAAATGTGACATAAGACAGTGTACAGCGGAGAGGAGCAAATAATTTTGGAAAATGCAGACAAAGAATAAAACAAGGAAAAAGATACTAACCTGTACTGAAAAAGGAGGAGCTGACAGGAGAATCCGAAGAGAACAAAAGCTACAATAGAACAAGATATTTCAAAAGTCATGTACAGCAGAGGATCTTCTAAGTAAGGGAAAAGAAAAAGATTCCAAAAAGGAATAGATTCGTAGTAAAAAAGAAGGAGCAAGGCAAAAAAAGAGATAAACCATGAATTTAGAACAAAGCAAATGGAAGAGAACAACGAAAAATTCATAGCATGCAGTAAACCATGCCTACCAGGTTTTAACCGAAAGTTGCAGATATGCAAGCAAGCTTCCAAACAGGAAGAAGTCTAGTTCATCGTTTACGAAAGAGAACAACAAGCAAAACTAAAACAAACAGCACTAATCATAATGCAGGACTCGCAAAAGGCAACGGCCAACTGACGCTGAGAGGACGAAGGATGTACGGGATTTTTTTCAGCATTCTCAGCAACAACGAAAAGGAAAAAGAGGAGAAAGAGCGGAAAGTCATTCTTTGTCAGCATTTCACAGCGTTTAGAAAGACAATTTTACACAAACAGGCCATTCAAAGCAAGAGGGCCTCTAATGCAGAATCTGCAATATTAGCATAATACTCAGGGTAAAATTGTCATTTCAGTTTCCATGACCACCTAACCGTTGTCATTCAAGAAGACATAACACACCTGCTACCATGTGTCATAACCACTACTCTTAGAACTCTTTTCTTCATATCATATCACCAATCTCATACTAATCTTGCAGTGTTACTTCTAGTCCTATATTCAGTATATTATTATAGCCCTATATGTCATTGTAAACCAGGCCTTATAGTCCTCTGTTATAAGAAACCAAAATGGGAACCGAACCAGAATACAACACAAGCAAGAAAAAAACCAACCTATAATTGGAGAAGAGAAGGTGAAGTTGGACGAACACTCTCCAACCAATCATGTTTGGCCACATCACCAACAGCACACACTCTTGAGGCATGGCATTCACCCTTTTATACATATGCTAAAAAGCGTTTTGGATTACTGTTCACTGGTTTTCATCTGCTCTCTCTAAGGGTATTGTTATCATTTTAGGTACAAGTTACTCGTTTTGTTGGGGCTAGTACAAGTGGCTGCTGCTTCTGATCATTTACTCCTCACCTTAACCATTTTTGTAATTTCAGGCTTGTTTGACTTTGGACCCCACTACTTCTTGCATCTTACTGATAATAATTGACGCGACAGTGTGTATTTGACAAAAGGAAGTTTCATGCAAGTTCCTCTATATATTCCTCTTCACTTCAAGTTCCTCTCTACTTCAAGTGCACACCTCTGCTTCAGATCATTATACTTTCAAGTGCATCATTGTGCCTCTACAGCTTGTACTCCATCCTTGTGCTTCAAGGAGTTGTACTTTCGAGTGCATGGTCCTGCTTCTGCAGCTTGTACTTCATTGTTGCTTTTCCTTGTGATTCACTGCTATCGGCTGTTGAGCCCATTTTATTATGGTCATCACGTGCTATTTCCACTCTCCACATTAATTACTATCAGATCCTTTTTATCATAATGTCCTTCCAGATGCATTTCTTATGGTATGTGCTTGATTTAGGAAAGGATGATTTTGACTTTCAGATAGTATTTCCTAACAGCTATCGATACATGCATGGTTATTCCATCTTTTCAATTTTGTCTTCCCAGAGCCAAGAAATCAGATCTGGCTTTGTTTGGATATCAAATTATTTCAAATAATATTCCGCTTGCATCATAAACACATTTTTTAACCCATTTTTTTATATTTTTAATCACTTTTTTATCTCAAATATATTACATCATAAAAAGTGCTACGGTAATTATTTCAAATAATACTCTATCCAAACAGATCGAATTTTTTGTTACTTATCCTAGCCCCTTTTTCCCTCTGATTTCTTCCCAAGATCAGCAGATCCATTTTTCCCATCTTCTCACCGTAGAGGTAAGCTTTCATTTCTTTCTCTTTTGGTCGAGTATAACAAATATCTTGTTTACCGTTATCTTTTATGCTTATCAGGTCGTTTTTCCTTCTGGTTTTTGGAGATTTTGGTAAAATTGATGTGTCAATTATTTCCTTCACTGAGAGGTAAGCTTTATTTCCTTTGTTGATGTTTATGATATCTTTTTCTTTTGAATTTTACGTGTATTCTTACTTTTTTCCTCTCAATATTCTTAGTTTCAATTCATTTTTTAATAAAAAAGAAAAAAAACTCCAATTAGTTTTGGCTTCTTTTGTGATTTTAAAATTTTCAGCTATGGATGTAATTAACTTGGTTATGTTCAACTATGAGAGGTATGTGCTTTTTACCTGATTTTCTTTGCTTTGTTCCATCTCTGTAGTTTAAATTATGGTTTACCTTGCAATTCCTTTTACAATCTTTCATGTCTTCAATGCTAATTATAGTTAGTTGTTGGTTTTCATGGTTTTTTTGCTTTATGTTTTATACCTTTTGTAATTTTTTTGTGTTTTACTTTGGTTTTTCATGCATATTATTTGTTGTACCTGCAGGTGTTCAATAAATTTTAAAGGTAACCTTTTTAGTAGTTTATTTAAATGCCTTTTGATTGTTTAGAGAATCTGGATATTAGACTTCAATTTTTCCTAATCTTTTGGAGCTTCTACAGGAAATTTATAGTTGATCGTTGATAAGAAGATAAGATGGTGTCACTAAATAGAAACAAATCTAAATTTCTGCAATATTCAAGTATCTTTAAATTTCGTTTGGGCTACTGGTTGTAGTTTGCAATCATACTGCCAGAAAAAATATTGCAATTTATTAATCCTCTAATCTTTCTTATTTGTAGAGACATTGATTAAGCAACCTGAAACTTACTTACATCCACTAAATGTCTTTCGATATTTGTTTTTCAGGTATGAACCTATCAAAGGTATTAGTCATGATTTCTACACATTGTCTTGTAACTTTTGCAACTCTTTCCTCATTGAAGAGATGGCAATTTGACAAGGTATATGTTGCACTGAAAGTTTCAAATTAGCTTATATACCATTTATTTGATTAGTCATTTCGTGTGACTTATAATTTGATTTGGTAGTGGCAATTGAAATGCTTTAGTTTCTCCACTATCTTCGAGTCGTTGTCTTGGTTGGTTAGCATTTAATTTGTTTCTTCTATATTGTGCTTTGATGGAGAAACTCATTCATATGAAGACGAATTTGACATTTATGCAAGTGAGTGAGAGCACAAGAGCTCTCCGTGGGACAGCAATTACAAGCACATTGTTCATTTAGCCTAATTTTATGATTTTTTACATTCAAATACATGCATGTAATCAGGTAAAATGTTAACAATCCTTCTTCCCTTTCTTTATTTTTTTTTATTTATTGGATAAAAGTTGGCTTGCATCGTTTGTTGTCTTATTTCTTCTTTTGGCTTATTAATGCCAAGACTCTGGTGATTTAGATTCAAATTAAGTTTCAATTTTCAAATCTAAGTTTATTGCCCCCTTTTTTCTTCTTATGAACTGCATTTTTTAAGCAACAAAATTTCTTTTTTATCGATACTCAATGACGCTTCACGATGAAGGAATCCCTCCTATTTTTAACAATAACACTACTATAAGAGTGAAAACAGTCAAATCAAACTATACAAATAGATGACCTACACAAATATCTATGGTCAATACCCGTCCATCAGCAACTCTCAAATTTCTCTGGTTAAAGGAATTATGAACTGCATGGTTCCCTTCAACATAATCAGAGTAACTTAGAATTCTAAATTTGTGCTATGTTTGTTATTGTTTAATTTGCACTTCTATTGGTGAGCCACTTTCAAGTGCAAACCTCCGTTTTAGACTACTATACTTTCAAGTGCATCAGTACGCTTCTATAGGTTGTACGTTGCACTTGTGCTTGGAGACGTTGTACTTGGGAGTTGCTGGTTTTGCTTGTACAGCTTTACTTTCCAATCGTGTATTTTGTGGCTCTGCACTTGTATTTTCCTTCTGAAGTGCATTTGGCATTACTTGTGCAATTGTACTGCATGTTTTTGTATAATTTTCTTGAGATAACATTTTGTTTTGACATTGTTAACCTTTCAAATACTGTTTTTGTGTAGATTTTGTGTTCACTTGGGGATTATTTTGTCCATTCATTGGATTTGGTTGGAGGGTTCAGTCAGATGTCAACCAATTGTTCTTTTACTTCTTTTCCCTTATAGATAGATGCTAATTATATGGATTGCTTTCCTTTTAATGACGTTCATTTTTGTAATTTTAAAATTTTCCTCCATGTTGGAGACTGTTTCTCTCTCAGTTTTGCCGGCCATTAAGTTTTGCTTGTACTCAAAACTTTCACCCCATAACATTCTATTGTAAAGACTTGATTAAGACTATACTGTATAGGCTTCTTCTCTTCTTCCTCCAGTGTTTTTTCTGCCATCTTTTTCCATCGAATTCTTATGCTTTCTTGGATTGTTGCCTGTTTT